GTTGTTTTGCATTGTTTTCCATTATTCAGGCTTTGATAAATAAATAACTCAATAATGGCAAATCTCCCCTCACAGATGAATCGTTTCTCATTAAGCGAATCTTCTGCAGCTGAATTGTTTATAGTGGGAATTGATCCATTTCAAAAGGCAGTGATAAGCCTTTTCGGAAGATAACGTCATTCAAGCCTACCAGTCTGCTAATGCCATTGTCCTCTGAATAGACAACGGTGACCAGGGCGCCTACTCCACAATTGGCTTTCATCGCATGCCTACTTTGTTGTTGTTGTACTTGGAAGCACACCAACAACTTCCTTGCTCCTTTCTTGCTTGTTACTTGCGAATTGTTGCTTTCTACTGCTACTAGTACTACTTGCTTTGTTCCCAGATGCATAGGCTGGCAACAACATCCTTGAGCGAAGTGTTGCTGCCTTTCGGGAAAGGATTTTTGTTCCAAAATTCATTCGGATATCAAAAAATATTGCAGTAAACAGAAAGCTAACTCACTGCGTGATGTATATAGCTGTGTCAAGAATTTAAATGTCTGCGGGGTACTGAATAAAAAGGAAATAGATTTCCAAATATCCGCTTGGCAGTAATGATGGGAGCTGAATAAAGGCTACTCCAAGCAGCCATCCTTTGAAGAAGCCTAGTAGTGCCTGGTTCTTTTAGAATGATTAAAGATAGAATTTTTTTTACCATCTTGTTTGTATATTCTATGCATTAGGACTTCTAAACGCGCTTTACGCACTTTCTACCTTTTGATCCACCATTTCCACCACATCGCTCAATATGTGAAGCGCCTCCGAAAATGTTTAATAAAACTACAAATCGGCTTAACATATGATTTTATTGTTTATTGTTTATAGCGGTGTTTCTTTACCAGTAGGATGGTCCGTCTAACGCCGGCTTCCCTTATTATGACAGAGTTGTAATCTCTATATATATAAAGCGGTAACTTTATGTGTCTGTTTGTATGCCCGTTTGTGCGTCGTCCCAAAAGTCAAGTAGGAACGATGAAGAGTGTGATTGTCCAGACGAGTTAGCGTGCGTAACCCAACTGTTAATGTAATAATGGGTTAACTGGCCACTTCTTCACAACGAATGATACTACTTCGGACGCGAAAATTGACAGAATTAACAGGGCATGCAAATGGTATCGAAAATGCGTCGATGCTCGTGCTATGATTGGGGGCCTCGGTCTGTTCTTTTCATCTTAAAGGCACCGTTCACGATAAAAAAGTTATTGAGTTCTAACCTTATTAATACTCAGCGGCCCCCATGGGTTGTAGAAGGGACCCTTTCATTCCCCCAATCTCGACGTCCAGGGCGTAGTGGCAGCCCCGTTGTTGCCGTAGTTCGTGTTCCCGCCCTTCGATCGGTGCCACGTTAGACGAGTGTCGAGACGATACAGATTGCTATTATTCGTTCTAGGACCCACGCACAAACATCTAATCGCCGAGTGATGAGGCGACGTTTTTCTCCCATTCTTTTTTCCTCTGTTTTTCTTTTTGCTGCCGCGATCCCTTACTTAATTTCCTACTCCTAGAGGCTGAAAAAGGTGAGCTACTTTTGCTGTCACTAGTGTTTTTAAGTTTATTTATGCTTATAAGTGAATGAATTTTTTCTTACCATTGTCTGTTATTCGCACCAGGACCCACACGCGCGCAGTGGAACACACTGTTTAGCTCGTCCGGACACCCCACCCTTCTTCATTTTTCTGGTTTCGTTCTCGTCTAGCCCCCTTTTTAACGTTTTTTCGAAGCCTTTTTTCACTTTGGAAACACCGATGCACGCAGTTTCTTCACCTCAGTCGCACTAGTTTCGATCTTCTCTTCCATTTTCCGTCATAATCTGGATTACCCAAAATAGTCGTGAATAGAAGTCGGGTGCCTTTAAAGGTGGTGACCGGGGAACGTCCGTTCCGCGCGTCCGTCGAAGCTATATTACCCCGCCCACTTCGCGCGGCGTAGCCCACTGCGATCTCGAGATGACATGACAGTACAACTAAGTATCAGTGGAGCGAACGGTTCGCACTAGTAAATGTGATCTCCACTTCAAGCCGACTGCTGTTGACCGAGCGCAATTCGAATGCCCCGCTAAAGTGCGACGGGTGTCAAAGATCTTGGGCTAACATGCCGCGTGCGACGACTGCGGCCACCTAGTTTCGGCGGACGCGCGCAACGAAGCGCCTTTGTAATGAGCCATTGAAGGTTCAGCTGGTGGACAACCAAATCCCTCAATGGTAACCACAAACGTTGTTAAGTCAGTATAACACCATTACTAAATGTCTTCACCAATAAAGCTTTTTTTCTGAGGATGTAACATTAGTTTAGAATCTAGGATTATTAGCAGTCGAATAAAAAGAGAAACCATAATCTTTCTTTGAGTCACAAACTTCGGTGGATAGCGGAAGTAATCAAATCACAAAAAATGAACCAACTTCCATCTCCTTGTAATTTTGTACCCTTAATTGGTCCCTATCACTGCACTTATCCTTCTTGTCGAATGATTCGTATTAAAGAGTCAAAGTTAGATCGTAAATAAGAAAGTTGTAGGAATTGGTCAGTACATTTTGCTTTCTAAGTCCTTTTCCGTCGTCATTGTTCCCATAGTGCCGTCAGTGTTGCCTCTTCTACTCCTTCCTATTTCGAAGTCTCCACGTTCACAGGAATAGGAGCTATGGATTTCCGCTCGAACATTTATTTCGCGGAAACCGCGCCTCTGGGGCAGAGTCTGGTACTGGTTTCTCATCCTGCCGCTTGTCCTCCTACCAAATTTGAACGCTCTAGGTCCACGAGAACAGAGTTTGTGAGTTTCCAGTCGGACACACATGTTTACACACAAACACACGCCCAAACACATAGACATTAGCGCTTAATATATTAGTAGGATTGCGGGCTATCATGCCTCTGCAACGTAGGTATAAGTGAGCACCAATATCCGCTCAAGGCAACCGAGCCTTCCATCCTTTCGGGGTTGGTTGATTGGTGCAGAGTCTAGGAGGATAAAAGCACTGACTTGTACATCGGCTGGCCACCGCAGTTCATTGTACAAGCCACATATGCATTCAATATGCCACTACGAATCTAAATTGAGGTCGGATGTGGGGACGCATCTCTCGGACGGAATCGATTAACGCCCTTTATCTATCTCTATCCGCAATAAGTAAATCATGGTCAGAAACCGAATTCATAGCAAAGACTAATAAGAAACTTAGAGCTTAGGGAAATAATTTTGTTTCTGTACTTGTAGTCTTAACCACAGCTCTTTTTTACAATATATGGAGAGAGCACATTAAGCGATTTTCGTATCCTTGCTTAACCTTTTGCAGCTTTTTTTCGTTTGCGAAGCACAGAATTTGAGTACAGATTGCCATGGTATTTGGACCTCTTCCGCTTACTCCATAATGCAGAGAAATCTGTAATTCTTAGCTATCCAAGAAGAAGATAAACCATAAACATGTTACGCCATGCATGCTTTTTGGAAGCGTTTTTCTATTGTTACTCGATAGTTCTGGCGCTTGACATTTGGTGTTCGTCCCCCTTCTTCATTCCGCTTTTGCGAGGAAATATGTGTGGACGAGAGAAGAAAAGCTCTCATCTCACACCTATCCAAAGAGCTTTTTGTGAAAGTTCATTCTTTGCATGAGTAGCAGAGCACTTCAGCATTGATCGATGTCCTCTCGGCACACTTTTTGTACCTTCTAGAACTCTTTAGTGAAGCACCGTAGACGTTCCTAGAATGCCTAAGCATTATTCGATCCACTCCGATATTCAGTGACGTGAGTGGTAGATTGTTTTAGATTGGTTTTCGCGTACTCTAGCGTTTCTCCTTTTTCGTTGCGCTAAGTTTCTGAAGCAGCTACTCAAACCTGTCAAGATTTTAACGTCTTTTCTGATTTGGATTCTTTTCTGATTTCTGGTTTTGGACCAGTTATAAAAGGCTTTTCTCAGCAAAAATCATCTTGAATCTGTAGTATTATCGAGCCACAACAATCTGTTGAGATAGTATCTAAGTTCTTGATCAGTGAGTGAACTCTCCCGGATTCAGAAAAGATAGGATAGGCGAATAGTTTCTGAAAGAGTATTGCAAGTACTTTTCAATCAATCATTGCAGTAGCTACCATATGTCAGTTAATCCCTGACCTAGATGTGTTTGTGACTGTACTGAGCTAGCGCTCTCTCATGCGTAGCCATATGTGCAGGTGATGTGACAACTAAATAGCTTCTCTATTTATTAATAGCTTCAACAGTTAAGCAGGTGAATGTTGTTTTCAACTGCTTGATGATTCAAGGCTGTGAGCCTACCCGTCCTTCCCATCGTAGGTGTTATACTTAAGCTCATAAATGGATCAGCGTGTCGCTTCAGTACCACGAATTGATTCATTATGAAATCGCAAGTGCAACACAACATTCCAAATGCAAAATCATGTTCTTCGTCTATGGCTCCGTTTGCAGGAATATACTCCTTTTTTCTTATAGTTGATAACCATATGAGTGCTTGGCTTCAGAAAATTCGTCTGCATTACATATTTACTAGCATTGTTGATCTTTCGGCATGTATCTGCGCACACTTCTCATTTCCTCCAATTAGCTACGGCGCTTTCTCGAGTGCACGGTGTCGTGGAAGTTTCTAGAACACTTTGCGTAAGTTCCATCCAAACTCATTTCCATTATTAACCATACTGCTTTGGTTACTTTGGACTAATATTTTGAACAATTGAGTGGATTGAAGTGAGCGAGTTACAGTTTCGATGAGATTGTTTTCGGAAATTTTCTCATGATGGACTTCCTTTGTCACCCTTTTATGACCAGTTTGATGGTTTTGTATCGATTTATTTAAAGCTCAATGCTTAAGCAGGCTCAGAGATTCCATACGTAGGATTTATGGGCATATCTGTAGCGTGGAGATGCCTGGAGATTGTTCATGTCCGCAGATTTTACGCAAGTAAAGCGTCCGAGCTAAAGTGCGTGCTGTGTTGATTGGATGTGTAGCTGTAATCAAAGGATATGACTGTAATAACTCATCAGCGATTGCTCGTCGAAAAACTCGTCAACGCTATCGTAGAGGGCGATTGACAAATGAATGCAGATTATTCGAATGCCAAATAGCTGAACTGGTGTATGATGAACCTCCTTCTTGGAATGGTGGATTACCTTCTCCAGTGTTTCAGAAAACGTCCAGCTTTGTGCAATCCTCCTAAAAACTTCAATGATTGTCCGGGGTTCTGCGAACTGCAGCAGAGGTGCTTTGAGAAAGCCACAGGAGTTGGGCAAATAGAACTACGAGCTTATGGGATCGAGGTTTAAGCTCATAGGACTAGGGGCTTTGACTTATGGGACAAGCCCATTTGACATTGTCACTTAAAAGTCCGCACTCATTTGTCAGTAGCCTTTGGGGCTTAGGCTTATAGAAGCCAAGACATGGGGTCTTTGTGCTACTGTGATCGAGAACTGAAGCTTATAGATCTAAGTATTCTCCTGCTTTCCAGCTTACCTCAATTTCCAAAATTTCCCCGCCGGTGAATGACCGATCGGCTTTGAGCACTCCATATTTATTCTGTGGAAGTTTTTTTTGGCTCACCACGTACTTATCGGTGGCAGCGACCGTCGCGATTTTCTCATGGCCCACCTGCTCTAGATGTCGACGAAATCCAACACTCAGTGTGTGCAAACTCGTGGTGACGTTGCTTACATTCCCATGACCCACTGATTCAGCATCTATTCCTGTCGTGAGAGTTTCTAAAGATCAAAGTGAATCGGTATGCGGATTGTGAACCCTTCCAAACCTATTTGTCTTCTAAATTTTTGTAGAAATGAAGAAAATTTATAGACTCAACCAACTGTGAGATGCTCCATCATTGTGCCTCTGGTAGATGCTGGAACGATTTCGTTGTACTTTTCGCTTTTCTTACTCCTGCCTGTTCGATTGGAATTGTGTGCCTGTTTTAGCTTTTTATATCTCGTTCACTTTACTTAATTGCCCTCGGAAGGGCAGACTTGTCTTGTAACCCTTTTTGAGTTTACATCGTGAAGTTCTCGAAGAATTATTGGGTAAAGGTTCCTTCTCTCCTGAGAAAGGAAGTCAACTAGACCGCTCCAACAATGAAAACTTGAATTAGATCGAGACGGAACTATCAAACTGTTCATGAAAGGGTGACAAAGGAACTTCATCATGAGAGACTTTCGGAAACAATTTCATTCGTTCTCGAAAAAGGAGTATATTCGATCAAGTTGCATCGCAGTTAAACTTTTCAGGGACAATGTCTGCCATGATTTTGTCTTCTTCTTTTCCTCTGGTTTACTCCCTGGAGCCTTTCAGTTCAGGTGATAATCGTTGCTGACGTATGGAGTAGTGAATACAATAGGTTCCAGTTCGTGGATCGTCCCTGTTGTCTCTAAGCTTGTGTACTCAGTGCAAGCCTCTGTAGGTGTTTTTTTCCACATATTATTAGTTATCAAATTAGTCGGCCTCTAGCAGTTCTGTACCATGAGCGTTTTTGAAATTTACTGAATATCAACATGATTTCATGGTGGTGTTATGATGTACAAGGAAAACCAAAATTATGCTGACAGCGCGCGCAGACGCTCATACCTATTTTTTCTGAGTTAGTAACATTTCATTCGTTTTACTGCATTTCACAAGGTAGTTTACATTATTTCATTCCTAAATACTAAACTTTTGGCATATTTTGAAATAGTGGTTGCTTCACCACCTCGTGAGTCAATCATCACTTTGCATATACAAATACCTTTAGCAGAAGACATCTCCACAGGACCCAGAGTAACAAGGCAGCTGATATATCCAGCCTTAAGACGGTTCCAATAGTTGGCATCAACGGCAGGTTTGAAGGGTAAACAATGGAGGTCACATACGGTTACGTCTAAGAGGAGTGTTAAGGAAGCAGAGCGAAGGTCTGCGAACCAGTTAAGTTCACTCTGCGCACAAATTTTTTGCGCGAAATCGCGGAACGTGATCGGCTCAACAAGGCCTCTATCCGATAGAATGTGGTTTCCCGATAGAGCAGGCTGAAGAAGAGAGAAAGGTCGGCTCACAACAGCTGCTACGCCGTTTTCGTCATGAAGTCGTCATGGGATACGGACACCCAGTCGTCATAGGTATGTAATTCCTGTCCACCGATGAAAAGATATTCACGATGAAAAAGATGCTTAATAAGCACAACGACAGGATTAATTTGAAGTTGAAAGGAAAGGAAGTGTTACAACGGAAGGCTCAATCACTGTCGGGCATCACCGTCGAAGCGAAAGCACACCAAATCTTCATAAATTAGAGAGTCATAGTTAAAATCAAGACCTGTGTGATCTTGCCGCGCTCAAATGACCACTTTGGCAATTCGAACTGGGACATATTGTCAAGATGAAGCTCTGATCGCAGATCATAAATTGTCAAATCAAATCAAAATTTGCTTTCAATTTGGTCCAATGTGTAGTTCTCAATTTGTAGAATAGGGTTAGGCGATGCAAGTGAGAAGTTATTGAGATGTAATTGATGATGCTTAGGACAGCGTCACCGAGACCGCTTTTTCTATCAACCTTCGGCTGTGCTTTTTCAATTTTTTATTTTTTGCTTACATGATTTCAACTACCATTCGCCTGAATGTTTGTAAATGCGAATTTGGGGTATCCAGTTTAAGACGAATAATGGATGCGATAACCCACACTAGTGCAAATGTGGCCAAGAAAACGCGAAAATCGGCCTATTGGAGAAATAAAACTCTCAAAAATTAGTAAAATCGGAGATTGGGCGAGAATGTTACGACAAAATCTGCATAGAAGAGGTATTCGGACGAGTGCCCGAGGGTGTGCCACTGCGTAGGGTCGGCTAAAGTAAGCTGACTGCGTCCGAGATATGCGTCCCGTGCGAATGTGCAAGCCCAACAGACTCTTCAGCGCTAGACTATGAACCCGGTTGTCCGTCGACCAAGCCGACTTTGGGGTTCTTATTACGCCTTTTGACCTGGCCGATTTTGGAACCGATGGCGTCCTTTGTGCTACCTTTGGGTGTAACAAGTTCATCTCAGCAAAGCGGTTTCTTTATCGTAAACTCTGCCTTTGATTTCTTATCGTCTACCGTGATACTTTTACTCCAAAAATATACCTGTAATTACTTCCCACTTCTTATAGTGTTGAAGATTTTCGAGCATCGAAATAACTTGATTAAGTGCGTCGCGCGGTTCTCACTTTTCGTTGGCAACATTGTTGACTGGATTCTGTTTTCACCATGAAGGTGTTATAACTAGTCTAAAGCGCAGAGTTGATTGCTTGTTACGTGGTGCGTACTGGAATCGCTGGAATGAAATTTGCTTTCCCTTAACTATCGTGGGTAAGCCGGAAAACAAGAAGAAAACGCCATCGTAGGGACATCCTCCTCATACCAAGCTTTCTTTGTACAATATTTGATATTTGGTGAAATCGTACGGTTAGTTCCTAAACTACATATGAGCTTATCAAGGCCTTCAGTTTCATTGATAGTGTTGGAGGCAGCTTTTCCTGAGAGTATATCTTCTTTCAGGTACAACTAAGACTGCTCATGAGACTTTTCATTCTTTGGTATCCAATTGTTCTCCAGAAGTTTTCATGCAAAAGAGAATCATGAGTTCCCTCAAAAGGCGAATGACCTTCCTAGAGGTTCCCTATTCCCTAGGTATCCCCAATGGGAGATGGGTCTCAATCAAAATGATGACCATCTTTACACTTTTCGAAGAGGCATTTTTCGTACTGGCTGCCATGGTCCCAAAAAAATAAAGACCTGGCTAACAAATTCCTTTCGCCTAGAGCGCTGTTGCCGAAATACATCATCGGGTGGTCACCATTTTTTGTGCTGCCTTTCATGTCGGTGAACTGAGCATCAATAAGCATCTAAAAGCTTCGAGATTGTGGTTCGCAGTCCGCCGATGCTTATATGTTGGGTTCCATAGAAGTTTCAGATTTAATTCAACGAAGCTACTCTGAACGCTGCAGAGTACTTACGGAGTAAGGAATGAAGACGTTCACTGGTTGCTAGATTTTATTTTGAGTCATCTTAAGCCTCATCTCTTTTTGAGCATTGATATTTGAATTTGTAGTGAACATGTTTCCCATGTAACTCGCCTAAATGCAAACTCACGACAAATGGTTCCTGGAATTCCCAAACCCATAGCGGACGAGTCTCAACGCTGCCCTATGTATATCAAGGGATTCCCATGTTGGAAATTCAAACACCTACCCATGGCAGCAGTGGGAGGCAGTTTTGACAATTTTGACTTGATAAAGCCAGCTCTTTGCGCAATTGTAACAGCTGAGATCTCGTCCGAACACCCGTTCCATGCCATTGCCGCCATGGTGATCTCGTACAACCTCTATTTCCTCTTTTTTTGGAAAACCGTCTTTTTCACCAAGTAGGCTGATCTTCTCACTTCCTCCACCACCGACGCCCTACATATTTCCAAAAAATGTATGCTTCCGCTTTTTGTCTTCAAAAGGTTCCTCGAAATTCTTGTGAACTGTGCCTTAGGGATAGCAGATTGTCGGGTTGAGCATTAAGGCATCGGTAGTTTTTATCGGAAGAAAAAAGTTCGAGTTGCAGTTGCCATAATGCAGTATGATATGGAAACAATAGGATGAATTTTTTGAATTACTTTTATAAATTGCGAGTATTAAATCCTCATTGACAGGAGAATATTCAGTTCTAATTATACATTGTGCAAACTTATGTGCTATCCTACTTTATATAATTCGCTAATTGTGTCTATTGGTGTGTCGGTGTGTGTGTGTGTGTTTGACATCTAATTCGTAATGGGCAGCATGGCAACGCTTATGGTGGGTGGCAGAACCGGATTCCATGCACAGGGGGCGGGGCGTGCGCGAGAGAAATTTGGACCTCAAATTCATCTCTTGTCCAGTAGACACAGATCGTTGAAAATTTGTAGGAGTGCAGGAGGCAGGATAGGAATGCTCATGGCATGTAGCAGGTTTAGACTCTGCCTACAGGGGGCGGGGCGTGCGCGATAGAAATTTTAGGTCGCATATCATGACTCTTGCCCAGTGGACTCAGATCGTTGAAAA